GATAAATGTAGATTTTGTAGGACCGGTGGAGGAGACTTTCTTTCTCATAATGGTCGACGCATACAGTAGGTGGATTGAAGTTATGGTGATGGGAAACACATCCGCAAACAGCACGCTCATTGCGCTGAAGCATATTTTTAGTCAGTACGGTTCGCCAGAAACAGTCGTATCGGATAACCGATCACGGTTCGCTTCCTATCAATTCGCTGTTTCGCGCACAAAATGAAATCCAACACATGAGGACTGCAACGTATCATCCCCAATCAAATGGTCAAGCAAAAAGGTATGTCAATACCCTAAAAAGTGTAATGTTAAACTCGATGGGCGAGGGGAGGCTGGATGAAAGATTGAAAAGATTCTCGTTGAATTATCGAGTTACTCCGAATCCCAGTGCACCAGATGGGAAGTCACCCGCTGAAGCCCTCATGGGTCGAAGATTGAGAACCACCCTAGATTTGATGGCTCTAGAACGCACACCGATACGTCGTACGAATTCGGTGATGGAAGGCCAGTACAACAGGCGGTATGAAGCACGGCACAGGAATTTTAGTGTTGGGAACTCAGTATTTGCTGGCTCTCATCGAGGGCTTCGAATCATCTGGACACCATGTCAAGTCGTGGAACAATGTGGCAGAGTAATGTACGATATCCGAGTTGGTAGGTAAGTATGGGTTCGCCATGCCAACCAACTGCGATCGCGGTTTACAAGGATCCCAGAGATGCGCGACCCCAAGGAATTTGATTTTAATTAATTGTTATACACTTTGCAGCTAAGCACCTCGACCAGACAAGACACGCAACTCGTGCAACGAACTGAAAGGGGAAATCAAGTAAGGCGAGAACGGATAAGAAGATGCGTGCAACGCTTGCAGGTCGACCACCGACGGAAGACCCACACAAATACCGGTCCAACTATTTTTTTAACATGGGGGAGATGTTAGGTCTCGAACGACATACTCCGAGGAACATTTCACTGCCTGAGAAGCAAGTCGAGCTGGCGTCACTGATTCAGACCGAATCTTGTAACTTGCGTGGAAAAAACAGAATTCCACACAGATCAAAGTCAAATGCGCACAGAAATGAAACAAATTGACTTGTTCGGGAAGGTAAGTGCGCAATTCCCCACAAGTAACCGTGTGCCTTGTAGCAGAACAGTCTGTTACAAGCAGACTAGTGTTTTCCCGTGTTGCAGAACATTTGTTACCATCGCTTGTTTCACGCCGCTCACATGTCCCTTGTTTCTTTGAGACCTATAAAATCAAACGAGCACACATCCGTGACTTGAACTGTATCGGTGTGTTTTCATCCCACGTCGGCCTATTCTGTGTGCGCCAATATACTACTCGTCCGGTGATTTGCCTTTTAAAATCGCGTGGCGCAATCGAAGAAGCTGCTAAGTTGAACCCCTGAGGACACAACAGTGCGCGTCTGCGCTAACTTCTCATCTGGACTTAACGCCGCGCTGGATAACCACCAGTACCCATTACCTGTACCGGAAGATATCTTTGCAAAACTGAATGGTGGTAAGTGCTTTGCTACGCTTGATCTGTCCGATGCCTACCTTCAAGTGGATGTGGCCGAAGACTCGAGGGAGCTGTTGACGATCAACACTCATCATGGGCTATTCCAATAAAATCGCTTGCCCTTTGGTGTGAAAACGTCGCCAGCCATTTTCCAACACTTGATGGATGCAATGCTAGCGGGCGTTTCTGGAGCCGCTGCATATCTGGACGTTATCATAGTGATGGGTCGAAAACCGGAAGCTATTTAACTGGCTGGATGAAGTGCTTGGTTGTATACAGTCTTAAGGTTTCCGGCTCCTTGCGGATAAATGCACCTTTTTCACGCCAATCATCAAATATTTTGGCTTTATCGTTGAGACGGATGGACGTCGACCAGATCCAGCAAATATAGAAGCCATAAGCAAAATGCCTCCACCAACAGACCTACAGTTCCTGCGTTACTTTTGTGGGCTCATCAGCCACTACAGCGCATTCTTGCCTGAGATGCACTGCCTGCGTGCCCCGCTAAACAAGTTAGTAGCCAAAAGCCAAACTTGGAACTGGACATCAGAATGCCAGAACGCCTTCGAACTGGTCATTACTGTCCTCAAACTTGCTTTTGACTCATTTTGATCCCTCCAAAGCGATTGTGCTAGCCACAGATGCATCAAACCATGGGATTGGTGCAGTAATTTCAAACACGTACTCCGATGGATTTCAGAAAGTAGTCGCCCATGCCGCCAGAAGACTTACGAAGACCGAGAAGAATTACAGCAAGATTGCGAAAGAAACATTGGCCATAGTGTTCGCGGTCATGAAATTCCACAAAATGCTGTACGGCCGCCACTTCAATTTTCTGATAGATCACAAGCAATTGCTATCTTTGATTCGAAAATGGGCATCCCGGCTTGCACAGACAACCGGCTACAACCTTGGGCTCTAACTTTAATGGGGTATGAGCTCGAGATCCACTACCAGTCGACAATTTCCATTGGCCAAGCGGATGCACTCTCACGCCTAATTGATGCCCACCAGCAAGAAGATGAGGACACAATCATTGCCTCGGTCGAGATCGAACCTGACGTCAACTATCTGGTGAGTGACGCATTGCACGGTCTACCAGTTA